AGTAGCGGAATTAGTCTGTGTTTATTTTTATCTTCACTATTTTTATTAATAAATATTTGACTTGCACTTTTATTTTCTCTTCTTTTACCAAATAGATATTAAAACTATAAACGCTGCCCCTTATAAATTAAGGCAACTTTAATATTTCCAAACACTTACAGGTATACATTTCTAATTTTAAATAGAGAAATATTAGATAAGTATATTAATTCACATTAAAAAATAGCGCTTTAGTAATTTGAATAATAAAATAATTCTTCACTATTTTCATCTGAATCACCAGTGCTGTGTCAACTAGATACAAAAACAAAGTCGTCGTATTCAATATCTTCAATGTTCATTTTGGAACTGTTAATTTTCTGTCGTTCGGAGTTTTCTGGAAAGAGACCTTCGCAACTACAGCAATTACATCGACAAAATAACACCAGACCTACAAATCAGACATTCTGTGTAATAAAGAAGTTATTGTAGAATCGTCGCAAAATATCTCACCTGAAATTACCCATAGTATGAATCCATGCCAAACTTCAAAAAGTAATATTGAACCCAAAATTATATTTAAGATAACAGATATCACTGCCGTATAAGGTAAAAATCTTCTTTTTACCACATAATATTTACTATCTTCAAGATTATTTTGTGGCATGAAAATCAATATGAAGCTGATTAATACCATAACTTAAACAAAAAGGAACGGTAAATAATATTTGATAATAAAAAAGTTGATAAAAATTTTGTTATATATAATTTGGCAGTTACAAATGAATTAAACTAATTGTTAATATTCATCAATTATCAATTTATCGTCGTATGCAGATGTTACTGCTAACTTTAGACTAAGCTAATACTCTATGTCTAATCGGAATATTTGAAAGGTAGATAACATCTGGAGGCATTGTATAGTGCATTTCGTGATAGCGTCGCAACGTAAGGGGTATAAAAGCTATGTGCAAAAGGTACACTAATTAATGAACTGCCAATAACTAAGAACACTCGCCACATTGGCGGCCGCGTTATCTTCGCAGCGTCAAATGACGAAACACACCTACCTACTCGTGACCTTCCCAGCAGCTGGTATGTAGTAGCAGTCTGCACTTGTCTTCATTGCGGTGGCAGTAAGGGCTTACGGTAAGATCGTTACCCTTATGTTTGGGTATATACTGGGTGGTGCGAAATGGATCATTCTATTTATTTTCCATGTATCTTCTTCTTTCTTAATTATTCCGAAGTACTGATCAGACATGGTCTTCTTATAATTCAACTAAAAACTTTATCAGTAAGTGACAACCAAATCCTGAAGAACGAATTCAACGTGGGCACTTCGTGAGGTGTGTACTTTTTTCTTGAGAAATTGAAATTGAATAGCATAACGGGAAATAATGAGGTACTAAACTGCCTTTTTACATCCGCGCAGCCGGAAAAATTAAGAGAGAAGAACTTACATGAAAAAGAAATAGAATGAGCCATCTCGCACCACTCTGTGATATACATAAACATAAGGGTAATTACCTTACCGAAAGCTCCAATTGCTCCGGAAATGATGACGATGACGCGTATTCGTGTGATACCTCCAGTGTATTCCCACTGTAACGTTTATATAATCGTCACGAGAAATTGTCTTATATACGTACCAGCTATTGCGAAGGTCATGAATAGGTATGTGAGTTTTGTCACTTGCAATAACGAAAGGCGATAAAATAACGCAGCTGCCAACTGGCAAGTGTTCTGAATCATTGACGGCTCGTTAAGTGGGATACTTTTTATGCATACTTTTTACATTCCTTACGTTGTGGTTTTTTCACGAAATGCACTCAACAGTGCCTCTATAGGTTACCTTTCAAATATTTCAGAATACTGATCAGACCTAGTGCATGATTAGTGCAAATATTAATTAGAACAGAATTGCCTATTGAATGGGCAATAAAATATTTGAATCGACAGTTAAACAGTTGGTTCATGATTATGGGCGTTGAGTAAAAAATTAAAAGCATTTAATTTTCTTGAATATATGTAACATATGCATTTCAAGGTCATTTGGTTAGACTGAGGGAGTATAATTACCGGCAAAATATAATCATTACTCAATTTTAGATTTACAATAGTGAACAGTGTAAGTTTTTTGTTTAAATTTATTATTTTATCAACACTATCTATATAGAGTAATTCCGGGAAAGATGGCTAATACTTTTTAAATCAATATGTCTGATATGTTATAACTGAAAATAAAGATGGGTTAGTACGCGTCCAATACTTGTTTATTGAAGTAACGATTACAGTTTTCATATATTTCTCCATATTAAAGGATTTTAGTCCAAACCTTGTCTCGCATGTTCTCGTAGAGCTATGAAAAATAACATAGATATTTAATCCAACATTCGTTTTGTCACAATGTGATAAATGTTCGACAGCCCAGTCTGGTCATTTCTAGTTTCTAGTTAAATTCTATTTCAAAACTGGAATCTGCAGAAGAAGAAAACGTGGTTTAGCTTTCTTTATTTTTGGATTTAGCCTTCGCGTTTGTCAATCTCATAATTACTGCTAACTGCTTAGTTCGTTTCTTAGCTTATTAAGTTCTAGTTGTCGATAGAACTTACAAATGTCATCTCGAACCTTAATAAAGGTTATCGCTCGATTGTCATGGTTTCTTTATGATAATGTTCTGCAACATGTTGGCTGGTGACAAATATTTATTTTCCACGGAAGAAGCTTCAACAGAATTCATCGACGCTTACTAATTGAGTGCTGATAGTCATAAAAAATGCACAATTGTGTATAATTATTGCATTTTTCTCTGCATACTCCAACGTCTCTACCGAAATGCAATGACAGAATGTCCATCCAAAAAAAAAAGGATATCTTTACCGGATGACTTTCGAGGGACTAATAACATTTTTAGCCAGTCTAGAAATATGCCCGTGCCAACACAGGATGCAACAGAAATAAATCTGGAGTTTGCAAGCGGTGGTAGGTAGGATCTATAAAATATGTAAATTATGTAAACGTTTGTATTTCCATAAGTTTACTGTATTAAAGAAATCTCCAGTTGAAAGTACATGCAAATTTAATTCTTTCTCTGATAAAGAAATACGACAATCCAACGCCTAATTCGATCAGCAGGCAATTCAAAAGCTTCAGTGTTGTATTTCTTTTGTATTTCTTTTCTCCTATATTATTTATTATTTATTAGATTAAATTGAGTGCGATTCAAGATGTTTATGTTACCTAATAGCTACTTGTTCTTTTAAAATTGTCAATCGGTCATTGACTTTAAATCAGCGTGCCACTCACTGTTATTCGAATAGCATTCAATAGGGCAGAACTGTGTGATATGATCTTAATGTATGGCGAATATAAATACAATGCTAATGTTGCATGTTACTACAGCCATCAGCATCCTCTCCCAAGACTTCCAAACAGGCGAATAAATGCGATACAGAGATTGCGAGAAAGCGACAATGTGCAGCCTACATTTGAAGACCGTGAACGTCGATGTTCGAGCCATATCGGCGCTGTGGAAGGCGAAACCCTTCAATTTACAGAAGACAACCCCACACGAAGTAGCAAGGAACGTTGGCTCAATTCAGAATCAGCGTATTTTTTTACTATTTTACCAAATATAACATTGCGTCGTAACGGAAAAGTTCATTTTTGATGGAAGAAGAACCTCGTTGACTGAACTCTAATAAAATTACAATTATCCAGATGATAGCCATTTACCTACTACCATTACGTAACCTGCATTCTTTTTTTCTTTTATGTTCTTAGTAGGTACATGTTGAGGTGTAATTTATATAACGCTGCGTACCATCAATAATAAACAAATGTACTTATGTAATTTATATTTATTACAATAGACGTCTAAGCCAGAGCCGGGCAAACTTTAACTTCGCAGGAGCCGCTACATGAGGTTAGTTTGAGTCACCCCATACCCTTCAATGAGTACGAGAGGGTAAGCAGTAATGAATAATTTTGTTTTGTCTTTTTCTTCTCCCTTCCACTCCCATATCAAGCCCCTTCATCCCGTAGACGAGCGAAGCCACTCTCGCAACGTAAATAATACCTACGAAAATTTTCGTTACTACGTTCGCAAAACTATTGGGTTTGGCTATGGAAGAGGGGACTCATCTACGAAATAGAAGGGATAAGAAAAGGAAAGAATCATCTCACTTGCACTCGCAGGATCAATGAGGAGCTACTTGGTTAACCTTGAGGATCACTCGGGATGCAAAAGATCCGAGTTTGCCCGGCTCTGGTCTAAGCAATATGTGTTGTTTATGTTTATCTTAGAAATTCGATAATCAGCACTATTTGCATTTTCCATCGATGTAGCTGCAGAGTATTTACCACACCACGCTATACGGTAGACACCTTCGTTGCCAATTAATGCTCAGGACCGGCTTCAGATTGTAAATTGTTGTTTTCCCAAAACTCACCTTGCAACAAATTACCGTGATGATCTCATCCTTTTCTTGCTTAAACGGTTTCAGGTTTGTTGTTTACTTCTAGTCCTACTTCGTCCATATGGTCAGGTTTTCTCCAGAGATTGAAAATAATCTTGAACGTCTCTTCTATTCATACCTTTTGGCTTCCTGCTAAAGAGGCTCTTTTCGATTTTCTGCTATTTAAATCTGGATTCCTTCTCAGAATATGTGTACATTTCTGTCTATATTGAATGTATGCCCAATCTCTGAGCCAATCTAAAAGTCATCTCTCGAACTGAATTTCTTGTAAGCGCAGAACCAGCTCTTTGCTGTTTGAGAATACTAAAGGTATTCTTCTTATAAAAATCGGCTGAAATTTACTTCACTAATACCCGTAACTTACAGCATTTAAAACGTAAAATGTTCAAAATTTCATTTATTAAACATTAAACTCTAAAAATTATACGACATATAATAAACCATGCACACGTTCCCATGCGAAAATACCTGTATAAGTAAATAAAAAATGCAACGCAAATAAATTCATAAAGCCGCATGATCTCTCTCGGAATTATCTTAGATACTTAGAAAACAAAACGTATCATTTGAAGAAACCATTTCATCCCGGTTTATAAAATTGCATATCCCTAAATATATTAATCTGTTACACCGGTAATTGTAACACAAAATGATTGGATTTGTACTCCTTTTTAGAAACTAAAACGCAGTAATTCTTTTATTTTAAATAACAATTATTGCCTAAATACGAAATACTGTAATGAATTGTTATGTGATAGGATTTTCAGTTTAACCAAGATTAGCGTCCTGCTATTATATCTTCCATTTAGACCCTTTTACGAGTATAATACAAAATACGTAAGACCTGTATGCAAAAGTAAATAAGATCTTTTCAAACTTATTTACCTGTCGAACTGACCATAACCACCACAATATTTTCCAAATAAAGTCCCAACGCAAATACAGCCGCATTCATATGTATACCAATTACAATTGTAAATACTGTTCTGCTAGAGGTTAGCGTTGGAGTTTTATCGGATAAGCTATTAATCGACGTTACCTGAAATATAAGAATTGGTTGATGCTAGTATAACAACTATTTTAAATAACTCACGGTAAATGTGTACTTACCTAATTAATATGCGAAAGGTGAAGTTTTGATAATATGAAATAATAAATAATAATAAAAATAACTTAAAATTGCTAAATTGCTACGCAGTAAATGCTAAGTTCATCCATATTTCGCATAACATAGTCGCAAAAATCGTACTAATCTATCAATATTTTGTTTTATTCATTTTCTTAAAAAGTTATTCAAAAAAGGAGTATGTTTAGGTTTAAAACAATAGATAATAGTTTTGTGCATAATAACTTATAAAACCTTATTTTTAATCTATTTTTCTAAGGAGACGAGTTTTTTAAAGGACTACATGCGGTATGATTTTAGAAATTCACAGCCATAAAATGTCGTTTATTGTTGTTCTTAATTTAAATTGAATTTATTATAAACGGTAGAAAATATTGACTTCAATACCTGCAGGTATGTGAATCCATCAATTATCAGTAACTTCCTAAATGTAAACTTTAAAGGCAATACGATCACAAAGGTTATGAACATTTATGATTTCGTAATTGCTAATGGCTTTGATATGTTATAACTGAAAATAAAGATGGGTTAGTACGCGTCCAATACTTGTTTATTGAAGTAACGATTACAGTTTTCATATATTTCTCCATATTAAAGGATTTTAGTCCAAACCTTGTCTCGCATGTTCTCGTAGAGCTATGAAAAATAACATAGATATTTAATCCAACATTCGTTTTGTCACAATGTGATAAATGTTCGACAGCCCAGTCTGGTCATTTCTAGTTTCTAGTTAAATTCTATTTCAAAACTGGAATCTGCAGAAGAAGAAAACGTGGTTTAGCTTTCTTTATTTTTGGATTTAGCCTTCGCGTTTGTCAATCTCATAATTACTGCTAACTGCTTAGTTCGTTTCTTAGCTTATTAAGTTCTAGTTGTCGATAGAACTTACAAATGTCATCTCGAACCTTAATAAAGGTTATCGCTCGATTGTCATGGTTTCTTTATGATAATGTTCTGCAACATGTTGGCTGGTGACAAATATTTATTTTCCACGGAAGAAGCTTCAACAGAATTCATCGACGCTTACTAATTGAGTGCTGATAGTCATAAAAAATGCACAATTGTGTATAATTATTGCATTTTTCTCTGCATACTCCAACGTCTCTACCGAAATGCAATGACAGAATGTCCATCCAAAAAAAAAAGGATATCTTTACCGGATGACTTTCGAGGGACTAATAACATTTTTAGCCAGTCTAGAAATATGCCCGTGCCAACACAGGATGCAACAGAAATAAATCTGGAGTTTGCAAGCGGTGGTAGGTAGGATCTATAAAATATGTAAATTATGTAAACGTTTGTATTTCCATAAGTTTACTGTATTAAAGAAATCTCCAGTTGAAAGTACATGCAAATTTAATTCTTTCTCTGATAAAGAAATACGACAATCCAACGCCTAATTCGATCAGCAGGCAATTCAAAAGCTTCAGTGTTGTATTTCTTTTGTATTTCTTTTCTCCTATATTATTTATTATTTATTAGATTAAATTGAGTGCGATTCAAGATGTTTATGTTACCTAATAGCTACTTGTTCTTTTAAAATTGTCAATCGGTCATTGACTTTAAATCAGCGTGCCACTCACTGTTATTCGAATAGCATTCAATAGGGCAGAACTGTGTGATATGATCTTAATGTATGGCGAATATAAATACAATGCTAATGTTGCATGTTACTACAGCCATCAGCATCCTCTCCCAAGACTTCCAAACAGGCGAATAAATGCGATACAGAGATTGCGAGAAAGCGACAATGTGCAGCCTACATTTGAAGACCGTGAACGTCGATGTTCGAGCCATATCGGCGCTGTGGAAGGCGAAACCCTTCAATTTACAGAAGACAACCCCACACGAAGTAGCAAGGAACGTTGGCTCAATTCAGAATCAGCGTATTTTTTTACTATTTTACCAAATATAACATTGCGTCGTAACGGAAAAGTTCATTTTTGATGGAAGAAGAACCTCGTTGACTGAACTCTAATAAAATTACAATTATCCAGATGATAGCCATTTACCTACTACCATTACGTAACCTGCATTCTTTTTTTCTTTTATGTTCTTAGTAGGTACATGTTGAGGTGTAATTTATATAACGCTGCGTACCATCAATAATAAACAAATGTACTTATGTAATTTATATTTATTACAATAGACGTCTAAG